TGTTCAATGAAAGTTCAGCGTGTTAGTAAAAGCTTGCTGAAAGCATATAGCTTTTACTTATAGCCGCCGAAGTTGGGAGCCATATTTCGACTTACCAAAAGTTGTAGGGAGGATTTAGAGCTCATTTTTGAAGATATTGACCTGAAACTTGGCACACAGCTGGGGTTCCACTGGGAATCGACACTTAACTTTGGGCGTTAAAATCGGAGCAGGGCTTCGCCCCTGAATGGGGCCCTGCAGTTTTAGCGATTTGGTCTGATTGGATTCACATTTGAAACAGCTGGAAATAGCGCAATTTTCCATAGGACCGTTTTCAAAGTCAATAATACGAGCTTTATTTTGGTGTAAAAAAAATCAGGATTGGACTAGAGATTCGCCCTTTTTTAGCGGCCTGAATTTGGAAACTGTCATAACTTCTACAAGGCTCGAAATATCACATGGGTCGTAAGGACCTTTTCGATACCCCCCTCGACCAGTCTTACATTTTTTGCAAGACCAAGACCAAGACCAGTCTAGCTCATCACTAGTTGCAGGTTTAAATTGCATCACGTTATTTAATTTTCGATCACTGAATCGTGATATTATGAAAATATATTTTATACTAAATTAATACATTGAATTGAAAAATATACGATAGTAACAAACGCTCAACAATTTTGAAATAGTTGATAAATTGACGGCGTTCTATTACAAATATTCTTTACCAAAAATCACTGACCTGGTAAAAATTGAAAATTCGCCGTTTTCCAGTTTATTGTTCGGAACAGAAAATACGACGGATTTTTCTTTTTTCCATAATGAGGTTTTAGTTTCTACTAGAAAAATATGCGTTCAGAACTAGAATTGCGCAAGAGTATCGCAAGAGATGGCACGAATATATGGCTGATTGTAACCTGTAATTCTAAGGACTCAAACTAGCAGGAGGAAAAGGAAAAATATTAGTTTTTTTTATAAAAATACGTTTATTCATATAAGCGATTAAGCCCACAACTTACAACTCTACAGACTTAGAGGTTTTTCTCGAGCTCAAAAAACATGCTTTGTTATTTTTATTAGAACAAGCGGAAAAGACGGGACACGAGAAGTTCATGGAGTTAAACCAATTTTTGTAATTGAGCCATGAAACTACACCATTTTAAGTTAATTGCTGGGAATCCTGTCAACACAATCATAACAATTTTAATTCGTTGTTAAATATACAGAGTTTCTCAGCGAAAGTATATGGAAAGGTTTGCTTCATTTTTTGAGGCAATTTAAAGAAAAGCTTGCAACAATGTTTTTGGTATCTTTATTCCTAAGAAACTGTTTTTTAGGTTTTGTTTTCAAACGAAATTAAATTTCAATGGAATGTTAACTCTTTTCAAAATATTGTTGAAGGCTGGATATTACCTTTATTTACTTTTATACAATGCTCTGGAAATGGCCCTTACTAATAGGTACATTTTATAAATATTAACTAAGACATATTTTCATTTTATGGTAAAATAAAAAAAAATAAAAAAGCAAACAAGACCAGACACGTCTTACGATGCAGCAGGCCATTCCGTGGGATCTCGCGTTTCAAACAATTTTTTCAGATTTTTTCTTCAATTTTTTCGGGTGGCTCATCTTGAAACTTTCTTTCGAATTTAATAGTTTTTATTATATGCTAGTAACTATACTTAAAAAATTTTCCACATATTGATATTGTTTCCAAAGTTTCTGAAGGAAAATATTTGCAAGTAAGGCTTTCTGAGGTGCGGTCCACCACCCGTTCACTTTTAATTTATTAATCGCGCTCCTTGCAAGGCGTCGTTGTTTGATTTGCCTAAGAGCCACCAGCGGGCCAACGGCATCCGCTGTGTTTTCTGTAATACACTTAATTCCGATAAGGAAATTAATACACTTCCGTGATGGCAAAACCTATTTGCTAATGAGATGGGTCCACTGCGCCACTTGCCTAACTAATTATAGATAGAAATATCCACATCGGTGCAGTTTCTTGTTTCAAGCCCAAGACTTCAGCTTATAATAAGTTTTCCATATGTGGTTATTAATTATAAATTAGTCAAAAAATGTAGACATTCGTAAATCACGTCTAAAACGTAGTTGCAGAATGTGCACCGTCCGGTGGAAGTGTAATACGTGACCTCGACGTACTTTTATGTGCTTTCGTGCGACTCTTCTTTTTAATGCTTTCGTCGCATGCAGCTGATGCTTTTTAGGTTTTTTCAGAAAACCGCCCCGAAAACAAATATCACCACCCCATTAACGAGGCTCAATACCTAGAAGGTTTAAAACATAAGTAAAATAGTTGACTCGATTTATTCTTTTGGTGTTTTAGGTATTAATCAATTTGTAAATGTGCCTGTAAATGCTTTAAATCTGTGTGTTAAATCCGGTGTTGTCCATGAAAATTTTTCTTTTAATATTCAGAAATATATATGTTCTTAAATTGAAACTAGGCAACAGTTTATGTGCGGCTTGTGGTAATACTGACTTATTATCAGTATTATGTTTTTTCTTGTAAAAATATTCCATTCCTTTCTTTTAACGTCGATTCATATAGTCACAAGTTCTATGAATTAATCAAAACATTTTGTAAATTTTTGAATATCATTTAGAAACACATTTTTCGTAGCGTTCATATGAGTTAGAATTTGAATATTTGTGAAAACAGCAGTTTATTGTTTTATTTAGTACGGTACTGCAATCTGATTTTTTGTAAAAAAAAATTCTTTTAATAAGTAGTTAAAGTTAAACTTGGTTCACAGTTTTTTGCTCCTGTCTATATTTCTACTCTAACCTTTCTCTATGAAAATGAAAAAATATTCGATGTCGGCGGTTATAAGCTTTTAAGCTCGGATATTATTTGATAAGGCAAGGCGAACAACTGAATCGGCATTTTGTTGTTTTTCCGTATGTTTACTTTTTCGTGGAAATTTGTTTTCCTGTTTTTTATATGATTTGCCCGATATTATTAATGCTTGGCTTGAGCGTTTGCCTTTCTATTATCTTCAGCATAAGATGGTATTTCAATATTTACCTATGTAAGTAATTGATTTTAATCATTAAAATTTTCCTATAGTGATTTGTAAAAAGGCAATGATTTAAAACTATATACACGCATTTAACACAGAGAACAATACTTCAAACCAAGCAAATACATAAACAGACAAGAGATTAGTGACACTAACCTCTCGATTTTATCACAGTTTCTGAAACATGCTAGTTCTGAGTGCAAAACTGAGCAAAACTTTTGAGGTATGGTAAGTTCTTGATTGAGAGCTCATTGACCTTCCCACTCCCCAAAGGCAAAGGAAATATAAAAAGAGGTTTTATTTAATTAAAGCGAACCATTAGCGGGGCCGACGCAATAGTACGAGTTGCGGCCGCCTACCTGGCACGGTCGTATCTTGCTCTTACAAATGTCCCCACATGTCGCTGCTATAGTTTCGCAATTATCTCGGGGCCCATTCTGGAATTTACAAGAGGGTAAAGAGCAATTTCTGCAATTTATGACATGGCACCGTTAGCTGACACTTGCTTTTTCCTATCTCAAATTTATGCTGTTTTGGATTTGCAGAAACTATCAGTTTTCATTTTCCAATAGTTCAAATTTTGTTTTTTTTTACTTCCTCAATAATTGAGTCTTTTTCAGTCACGCTTTTCTAATTAGATTGATTGAATTGCACTATTGATTGAAATGAACACTAGTGTTTTCATGACGTTATTAATTTTACAAACTGCGATGTTTCGCTGTTATAACGGGTTATCCAATTTGAGGTTGGGAAAGTAAAAGCTTGCTATTTGATATCTGTCAAAGGCAAACGTCATCCGAAGCGCTTTTGTTTTAGTTGAAGGGTTGCCATTTTGGAATATCGATCGTTTAACTGTCGAAGAACGCGAAAAAATTAATAAATGTTACTATGAAAATGGTGATTCTGCTGTATCAACGTTCAGGGCTTTACGAACAGATTCAGGTCGACATGATCGACCCACAGAGCAAACAATTTTGAACTCAGTGGAAAAATTTGAAAGGACTCTTGGTTACTGATATTGTAAGGCCTGTGCAACATCGCAACATTTGTTCAGCTGAAAATATCGCTGTTGTTGCTTAAAGTGAGGAGGAAGACCCGAATTCGTCGATTCCCCGACGTGCTCAACATTTGGGCTTGACTTACGGCTCATTGCGGCGAATTTTGCCGTTGGATTTGAAGCTCGATCCGTACAAAGTCCAACTGACTTAAGAACTTAAGCCTCAAGACCATGGGTAACGCAGAACATACTCAAATTGGGTTATTGAAAAATGAGCCGTTGATGATGATTTGTTGATCTTATTTTTCGCTAGGTGGTCACGTGAATAAACAGAACAGCCGTTAATGGGGCTCTCAAAATCCTCAGGTGATTGCAGAAAGGCGTTTGCAACCTGAAAAAGTGACAGTGACGACCGTATGGTGTGCATTATGGTCCGGTAGTGTTATTGGCCCGTAGTTTTTTGAAAACGATCAAGGAAGAGCCATAAACAGTCAATTCTGAGCGCTATGAACGCATGTTAACCGATTATTTTTGGAGAGGAATTGAAGATTATGATCTGGAAGACATGTGGTTCCATCAGGATGGGACAACGAGTCACACATCACTGGCGGTTAGAGCTCTTTTGCTCTAACCTAAAGAGAAATTTTCATGACGCGTAATTTCGAGATAGAGTGATGCCAATTGGCCCGCAAGATCCTGCGAGTTAACATTAGATTTCTTTTTGTGGGGCTATGCGAAAGGTCGTGTTGACGCCAACAATCCTCAAACTCTTGAGCAACTGAAAGCCAATATCCTGAAGTCATGACCGAGATATTACCGGTAATGTACAGAAAAGTAATTCAAAATTACCTCAAAAGGATTAAGGCCTGTAGGAGGTCCCGTGGGGGACATTTGAATTATATTTTTTTCACATATAATGGTGTGCATTATTGCATCTTGTTTAATCTTTATATTGAATTTTCGTCCCCATCTGAATATTTTGTGTGTTTTTTTTACTTTACTTCCCCAAACATAAAATGGATAACCCGGTACTTGTATTTATATTATACTTTTTATTTTCTACTTATTATTCCACTATGTTGTTATTTCAGTTTTGGTTTTCACGTCCGAAACTTTCAGTTATGAAAGGAACTACTTGCTCTCGCATCCCCAAAACGAAACATTTTTGCAAATATACCGGGTGGTTTTTAATAAGTGTCTAGCTATCAGGTGTTAAAATACTAATTACAATTTTTGGTTTTTCCCACTTAATTTTATATACAGGGTGATTCAAAATTGGCATCATTTGTCTGGAGGTGTTGTCTGGCGCTGTACAGAAAAAAGAGTAAAATAAATTAATTGTTATTAAAAACTGAGAAATTTGCAAAAAAACTATATCAGAAATACGGCAGCAATGTTTTTCAAGGTAATCTGCCTAA